GAGCGAGAGTGAGAAAGACAGAGAGCAGAGAGAGAGAGAGAGTGCAGAGAGAGAGAGAGAGCAGAGAGAGAGATATTGAAAATGGCGACAACAGTGCCGAGCAGCAGCAGCAGCACGCCCACGGCCCGAGCCAGAGCGAGGAGACGGAACGGCCGAGCCGACAACGGAGGCAGCGAGCAAAAAGGCAGCGCGGCGCGGCTCGCGCGCCGCGTGCGCCAAGCAGCCGAGGCTGCCGAGGAGGCCGAGGAGTCCGAGGAGGCCGAGGAGGCCGAGGAGGCCGAGGAGGCCCCCCCCTCCCCCCCGGCGACTCGAACCGGGAGCCAGTCGACGCACGAACGGAACGCTCACACATCACCGGATATGTCAACTCGCATCAGCGAGGCAGCAGCTCATATACAGTGGACTCTACTCAAAGCAGCGCAGAAGCGCTCGCAGAGCGGTGCGCAGCGCCGCGCACGCCACGCCGCGGGCGGTCGGACGAGCGCAGCGTACGTCGGCCGCGATCCGCGTCGCCAGCCGTCTCGCGAGAGAGCGGCGCCACCACGTGCGCGCAGCAGCCGTCGCGGCAGAGACGAGCCGCGGCGACGTCCGCTAACTGCCATTGGCGGTTGTTGCAGGCAAGTTGCAAGTCCTTAAGAGAATACTGACAAATAGCAATGCGCTGTGAATATATTGGGATATACTGGGGTATATTGCACCCCTGGAATATACTCCCATATTGCGCACTATTACGCAATATACGGAGATATTGGAGGAACATCTTCCAGCCGAATACTGGGATATATTGGAGTATATCTCGGCGCCGCCAAGCACCTCAATCCTTCCGCAATATATTGCAATATACAGCAGTATATCCCAATATATTCACAGCTTGCTTGCCCCATTATTGGCTTATAATTCGCAATACTGGGATATATTGCTGTATATTGCCGAATACTGCTGAATACTGCTGAATACTGCTGAATACTGGAGAAAGTCGGGGGACGTAGAGTGGTCCGTGGCGCGTCGCAGCCTGCGGGGCGTGGCTCAAACGACCCCGTGGGGGTAGTCGAAGGATCGTAAGGCGCCGGGTTGGATGGCTGCGGTCTTGGTATGAATACTGCTGAATACTGCGCTGAATACTGCAATACTGCTGAATACTGGAGAAAGTCGGGGGATGTACAATGGTCCGTGGCGCGTCGCAGCCTGCGGGACATGCTCACACGCCGCCGTGGGGATAGTCGAAGGATCGTAAACACACAGGCGCCGCGTCGGGTGGCTGCAGGTCGTGAATAAGAGCTATCTGATGTCCAGCGCGGCTCGCACACCAGTCACCACAACAGCATGTGCAAAACCATGACAGTGTCCTCGCGGGTGCGCAGCGTGGGGTGTCCACCTGGACTCTATTGCATGCCGCCAGCAGGCTGCACCGGCGCGCTCTCGCATTCGCACAGATGGCTGACCCACGGAAAAGTGCATCGCAGGATCCGCACGCTCGGCGATGCAAAACGGCGGCAGCGGGCTGGCTGGGGCACCTAGCGGGTAAGCAGAAGGCCCTGGTGTACGGTTGCCAAGAGATCTACGTCGATCATTCCCGACGACACGCCTCTTGCTCTGCCTGATGAGAGTAGGTCTGTAGCGGAGAATGCCGTCCGGTTACTGGGCTGCAGCCCGCCATGTCCATGCAGCCTGGCAGACGCGCGCAGCAATGTCATCCGGCACGGCATCCGT